TAACCCAACAAGAGAGGCGTTACAACTTACATACACAAATGCGGTTCAAGGATAGATCATAGAGAACATGGGTCCCAATAAAACCAATGTCATTTACATCAATATAATTATAATATATCAATTATAATACTAGGTTAGGGTAAGGGTTAGGGTTAGGTTTAGGCACATTGGTTTTATTGGAGCCCATGTTCTCTATTCCTTGGGCCAGGAACCCTAGTACTACTAGCTCCAAGAACGTGTATTGCTAGGGTTAGAATACGTAACGAAGGTGTATTGACGTTAGTCACACAGCCTGGTCGGGTTACCCTAGTACTAGTACTAATAGTAGTAGTCAGGTTAGTAGTATTGCTGAGGCGGAGAGGGTCTATGTCCCCCGGGTTACTGCCGGAACGTACCCTGGGTACGGTCCGGTATACCGGAACGTACCCTGGCACTATCTATATAATCTAATATGCTGGACAGTACCTCGCCTACTATACTAACGAGTCTAGGGAGTCGCCTACGCCTACTCCCTAACCCTAACCCTAACCCAGCCCTAATCCTAACCCTAACCATATCAAATAGTTACCAGGGTACGTTCCAGTATACCGTACCGTACCCAGGTTACGTTCCGGCAGTAACCTGGGGGACATAGACCCTGTGAGCATTGCTGAGAGGGTCTATGTCCCCGGGGTACTGCCGGAACGTACCCTGGGTACGGTCCGGTATACTGAAACGTACCCTGGTATATCTAATATGCCGGACCGTATCTCGCCTACTCCACTAACGAGTCTAGGGAGTCGTCTACGCCTACTCCCTAACCCAAACCCTAACCCTAACCCTAACCATATCAAATACGAAATAGTGACCAGGGTACGTTCCGGTATACCGGACCGTACTCAGGGTACGTTCCGGCAGTACCCTGGGAGACATTGACCCTATGAGCAGTACTATTGTTGTGTTACATTATTGTATCTAGTAATTGCATGTCCACTCTCCAGTCTTCTATTTGTTCTCCATCCTTATATTTATTATAGCTATCAGTGTCAAATTTATAAATGATCGAAGTCCTCATATTCTTATTACATCTATTACTATTAGTATTACTATTAGTATTAAGGCCAAGACACACGGCAGCGAAAACGACCGACCGTAACGACAAACGACTTTTCAGAAAATTAGAAACTATTGTTTCCTATGAGCCATTGCACACTGACGCGACGACCGGCGACAACCTCAACGACAAAAATATTTAGAAACGTTTCTATTTCCCAGCGACTTTCGCCGGCGACACTTTACTGAGTGGAGTTGTGCAAGATTCCAAGTTTGGGCACAACATAGCCACGTAGATATATGCTGTTCATAATCATGCAATACACTTGCCTCCAAGAAACAATCTCGCTAGTGTTAGTTTCACTGTTAGAAGACCGAGTAGAAGACCTGCATATTGACGTTAGTCACACTGAAGGGGTCGTTGTCTTATCAGGTATTACAGATATGTACCCGAGGTACATATATGTATACACAAAGTGTACCAGACTTGTACTACAGAAGGTACCTCATATAAAAATATAAACATAATACTAAACAACCTAAAACTACCTCGGGTACATATCTGTAGTACCTGATACGACAACGACCCCATCTGCGTTAGTCACACTTACTCACACAGCCTGTTCGGTTAGCAATACACTATGACTGAGTTAGCCGACCAGGCTGTGCGACCGATTGTCTTTCTTTATCTTCTAACCTAAGCGGCAGCACACTTCACCATTTTCGTTGCTCGTACAGGAAATTTTCGTGGTCGCCACAAAAATGGCCAAGTGTGCTGGGGCCGGCAACGACCACTCACCACGAAATTTAGTGGTGACACGAGTTGCCGAGAATCAAACGAGGTTTGATTTCTCACCACGAAAAATTGCTCGTGGTGGCAACTTGTGGTGAAGTGTGGCTGTGACGCGGCAACGGCCACAAAAATTTGCCGACCACGAAAATTGCCTGTACGAGCAACGAAAATGGTGAAGTGTGCTGCTAGCTTTAGCAAGACCGTTTCTTGGGGCTATGTATGAGTATGATTAATATTTGATTATGAATGTTAAATAGTTCGTCTGTATGTCATTATCATCATTTATGCCATTTGAATTATACAACAATTGAAATGGAACAATCGAAACAATGGGAAAACGTATATATATATATAGGCAAGCCTAAGCGCAATGCACTATGGGATGGAGGGTACCGTACCACGAAGTCCAGCAAAAAATTCCTTCATCCTATATGTATGGTGCTCGATTTGCTCTCCCGGGCCTTCGGCCCACTCGGAGCTCCGCTATAATGAGCTAGATAGATCTCTGTATGTGATATACGTAAATATAAGTATTGAGTATCAAGTATAGCTCCTTGATGCGTATTACTTCACTTTGCTAACCATTATTGTAACATATACTTTAGTAATTAGTATCATCATCGCATGATCATGCAATGATGCATGATTATGATATAATGTCGATGCAGTATATATTAATTATAATACACGTTACACATTTACACAACCACACATTTACACATTTACACATTTACACACACCACAATTACACATGCTTAGCACTCTGGCCCCTCGACGTGCCCAGGACCCATATATGTCAGTTATCATTGCTCGTTATCCGCTGGTGGTCAGTCGTTGAAGAGATTGAATAGGAAAATATGCCATAAATTAAATATACAATGGTGCCATCTACCGTCATTTCCCAACATATTATCTTTACACCCAGAATGGTTGTCCTGGATGCAAATGGAACAGAAAGGATACATCTACAGAATCCAAAGACCAGAGGATTATAGGACATGAAGAACATGGCAAATACTGGTGATTCAGTACGCTTTACCATGGGTAAGAATTAATTATATGTTGTGTCTACACATAATACAAAACATTATATCTGAACCTTTGTGCGTGTTTTAATGAGTTACAAATTAATTTTGTGTTATCTAGTTTTGCTATATTATCAATGGTCCAATTCCTAGTAATTGGTGTGGCAAGTTGTAACACGTAAAATGTAAAGGTGGCAAATTTTTTATTGTGTCTAGCTGGATCAGTCCATGATAGTAGTCAACAAGCTAGCCACAGCCACTCACACTCCAATGAGCATGGCCACACACATGAAGTGATGGATTCTGCTGGCAAATTCACCCACAGAGAGCGTCCTCTCTGTCGTACTGACTGGGAAAAGGTAAATATATACTACAGACACCTGGACACCCTTCCAGCAATAGGATAGATACGTTATACTTGACCCATCAGCCACAAGGCAATATAAAATTGATTTACCTAGTCAGGATATACTGTGGACACATTTTGATGTGTCGACTAGCTTTCAATATTCCTCTTGATTCTGTACGTATGTTGAGTCCACAGGAAATGCATGTTTTTCTCTTTACAGAGAGCTTTCACTGTTGGTATAGGTGGACCGGTTGGATCAGGAAAGACTGCTCTTTTGCTTGCTCTGTGCAAGCATCTTCGTGATGAGCACTCTCTGTGTGTCATTACCAATGACATATTTACTCGGTATGTAACCTGTGTTGTAGCCTGTGGAGTTGACTCTGCCTAGTCATGCATAGTATAGCTAAAAGGGTTCGGTTCAAAAATCAAGTCTAACTGGAGTACTTTAGGTTAGGGTTAGGGTTCAGTTTCATTAGTACGCTTCCACCCTGGGACAGATAAATCTTTTCAGCATGATCATACAAGGGAAGGTGATAGTTTGTAATTTTTTCCATAATCAATAATCAAGGTTGCAGTGTGCTTTCAAGCCTACGTCCAATCGATTATTTCGGGATTGGATTTTATTTTTTGGTAGGAAGGGTTTACATGTACGAATTTATGTGAAATTTAGATTACTTTCCTGGTTTAATGTTCACTCTGACTCGCGATATCCACGTGCTTATTATTATTGTTTGTATTTGCATCAGTGTTGAGGATACGTGTATGTTGCAGTGAGGACTGGGAGTTCCTGGTGCGAAACGAAGCTCTAGCGGAGGAGAGGATGAGAGCCGTGGAGACGGGAGGATGCCCGCATGCTGCTATCCGTGAGGTGTGATGTTACATTGGTGTTCTGTAGCTTAAGTGTCATCGCACAAATTCTCGAGGCACCATGCGATGTAATTGAGCACCTTAGCTAATTCAACTCTTGTATCATTTAAAGCCCTCACTCGCTTGCTCGCCCACTCATTGTCTCAATCACTCACTCACCCACCCACCAACTAACTCGCTCACTAATTTACTCACTCACTCCGTCACTCACTCACCCACCCACCCACCAACTGACTCACTCACTCAGTCACTCGCTCACTCACTCACTTATTCACTCGGTCACTCGCTCACTCACTCACTTATTCACTCACTCGCACATACAACGCACTCGGTCACTTGCTCACTCACTCACTTGCTCACTGGCACTATACTTGTAAACTTCCACTCAGTTATATGTGAGTGACGACGATAGTTAGCAATGTAATCTGATTTACGTTGAAGGATTTTTCGCTTAACATGGCGATTGCGAAAGAGCTGAGCAAGAAGTTTATGCCAGAAGTGCTGTTTATCGAATCGGGCGGAGACAACCTTGCTGCCAACTACAGCAGAGAGCTAGCAGATTACATCATCTATGTCATTGACGTCGCAGGTATGAGCAAGGCTGCAGCAGATTGCAATCGGTGCAATGTCAATTTGGTGGATCGCAATTCAGGGGATTCTAGTTGTTCAGGGTGCAATCTAGCAGATGTCAATTTGGTGGGTCGCAATTCAGGGGATTCTAGTTGTTCAGGTTGCAATCTAGCAGATGTTAATTCGATGGGTCGCAATTCAGGGGATTCTAGTTGTTCAGGTTGCAATCTAGCAGATGTCAATTCGGTGGATCGCAATTCAGGGGATTCTAGTTGTTCAGGTTGCAATCTAGCAGATGTCAACTTGTGGATCCAACTTCGGGCGATTCTAGTTTGTTCAGGTTGCAATCGGCAGATTCATTTGGTGGATCGCAATTCAGGGATCTTTAGTTGTCAGGAGTGCGCAATCTAGCAGATGTCAATTTAGGTGGAGTCGCAATTCAGGGCATTGCTAGTTGTTCAGGTGCAATCTAGCAAATGGTCAATTTGGTTGGGATCGCAAATTCAGGGGATCTCTATTGTTGTTCAGGCGTTGCAATCTAGCAAGATGGTCAATTTGGTGGATCGCAATTTCAGCGGGATATCTAGTGTCAGCATCTAGAGTCATTTGTGGATGCATTAGGCCATTTCAGTTCATCTACCGCAGATGTTAATTCGAGTGGGTCGCCCAATGTCAGGGGATTGAGTTGTTCAGGTTGCAATCTAGCAGATGTCAATTCGGTGGATCGCAATTCAGGGCATTGCGATCCAGCATGTTAGGCATTCTCTGTAAAGCTGTTCCTCCTCACGTATATCTCTTGTAGTGCTTGGCTTCTCATCGCTCGATCCATGTTTGTGTGTCTGTGTCACTCCCGTGCGCACTCCAATGTAAAATGGCCTTTTCCTTGCACTATCGTTATGTGACACTGATGTTTGTCTCACTAGCGAGGCGACAAGATTCCGCGCAAAGAGGTCCAGGCATAACACCAAAGTGACGCTGCTCGTTATCAATAAAAACTGACTTGCAGAAGCTGTAGGTGCAGACTTGAAGGTAGGCTTGTATGTGTGTTGCATGACATACGTGTGTGTGCACATGGGTGCGTGTGTGCATGCGTACGTGCGTGCATGCGTGCTTACATGGGTGTGTGTGTGCATGCATACGTGCGTGCGTGCATGTATGGATGCGTACGTGCATACCGTGCGTGCTTACATGGGTGTGGTGTGTGCATGCATACGTGGCGTGTGTGCATGTATGGATGCGTACGTGCATACGTGCGTGCTATACTGGGTGTGTGTGTGCATGCATCCGTGCGTGCGTGCATGTATGGATGCGTACGTGCATACGTGCATGCTTACATGGGTGCGTGTGTGCATGCATGCGTGTGGCGTGCGTACACAAGCATGCCGCTCTCTGATATGGGGGTAGAAATACGGACATTAATCAGTTCAAATCTGCTACGATACAGAACGCACAGCAGCCTTTTCTTACATTAAATTTACTGCTTCCATAAGGGAATTCTCCCATCTGCCTATCCAGTGATGTATTGTTTTTCATCCTAGGTCATGGAGAGGTGCAGAGACAATGCGGCGGGCGGTCCTACAATATTCGCAACAAGCAAAACACCTCATTGGACTCCCTGAGGTGCGAGGCACATACTAACAGCAGAGGCAGAGCTCATGAGAAATAGCTATGAAGTTGGCATGTAAAGCTATAGAGAAACGCGATTCAGTGTGTTGAAACTTGTGGGGGGGGTGGGTAGGTAGAGAGGGGTGGGATGTAAAGGTGGGGTGGGGGTAGTTGAGTGAAATCAATAGGGTGTATAGTGCCAAACTTGAATACACGATGACTAATTGTTATAGCAGGGTGGTATATGTAAGAGTTTTATAGAGCTTGAGAAGAATTCTGGAGTAGGGGATCGATATCAGAAACTATATTTTCAATATGACAAGAATAACAATAATCGATCAAATCATGTTTTGATGAATAGTAACAATTGAAAATGCTACATTTATTTTTTACAAAACTTATGATAATGTTAACTTTGTATTGTTGAACATTACTGACTATTCTGTATATAACTGACAATTAGCATTTAGGTGATTTGTACCCACATTATATACTGTTATGCTTTTTTGATACCCAGTGATTTTAACAGATAATCAATATTTCACATATTAAAATATCCATTGCTAGGTTAACTCTACTGTCTTGACTTTGTTATCTATGCAATTGCTGGAACAGGTACACTCCGCTGATTGTCAGCTGAAAATTCAATCAAATTCAATAAATTAACCCAAGTTGTTTATCTTTGATGTCTATACAAAATAAGATAAATATCTGATGGCGGTAATATATCGGATATCTCATTTCTATCCATAGAGCATCACGGGGATACTCAGATTATTTTCTGTGACGCTAACAATGATAACCACAAAAACCTCGTTCAATCCTACGTGGTAGTCTGAGAAGCTGCACCCCGTTAGCTTTGCTCCCTGGCTCCTGTTTACACGTCTAGCATTTCACCAAAAATCGCAATCTAAATTTCCTGTAATGCTTGGTACAGATTATTCGCTTCTTAACGTCCACGACATGTTAAGTGAGAGCAACCTACTTCAAACGCAGTCTTCGATGAGTGGAATCATTTTTACCGGATAACTGCACAGCATAGATGAAAATTTGTCTGGAAATAGAGATCCACATTGTGTTTTTATTAAAGAAACACCATACACACCACACACTGCCATAGCGAGCCTATGTACAAACATATAGGCTGTAGCACTAGGTTTGTCAAAAATAGTACTCTGACACAACAATACTACAAGAAATACTAATGCAACCCCATTCTCATAGTTTGAGATATAAATAGTATCCATTGAGCTATCACTTCAGCACTAATTTCAATCAAAAAGATTGCTGCATATCCCGAGAAGTACATTGATGTAATTTATTTAGCTATTATTGTAAGAAATTGGCTAGAATGAGAAATACATTACATCTACAAACATATCCCGGATGACACCTTGTACGTAGATCCTCAGAATTTAATGGTAAATGAAATGCACACCGAATGCCTTGTCAACGTTAGTAGACCACAGCTTAGTAGTGTGCCACAGCTTAGTAAATGAAATGCACACCGAATGCCTTGTCAACGTTAGTAGACCACAGCTTAGTAGTAGACCACAGCTTAGTAGACCACAGTTAGTAGCACAGCACAAGTTAGAGACCAAGCTGTCACTGGGCCCATGAGATCTGGAAGATTGAGCATCTATATATTATCAAGAGCTAATAATACCCAGAGTGTACAATGGAAAACGGCAAAATAGTGCTATTTCACGGCCAATATTATCTACTTTGCCTGGACTCTAGATTTTATGTATTGCATTAAGCAGAATCATTGCGCTCTAAAACAAAGACCAACCGCTTGTCCAGTTGTCAATACGATACTCTGGCTGAGATTATTGCTCGTAAACTTCCCCCACACAGGCCTCACGGCGCCATCGCACCACAATATTCACATACCTTCTCGCCTTTTGCGGGTCTGGCTATCGTTTTCCGTCGCGCCGCTTGGAGCGCTGATAATTGATGTCACATGCCCAAATTTGGTACTCTTACTACACCATATAGTAACTGAGCTGCGTTGTAGAAACTTAATGCCATAAAATTATTCTAGACTCTCAGGCAAAGTAGAGTAATCATGTCGTGAAATAGCACTATTTTTCCGTTTTTCCGTTGTACACTCTAGGTATTATTAGCTCTTGATATTATATAAATATATATCAGTAATCTGCTCACCAATCATCATATATGGTTTACAGGCAAAACTACCAGATTGAGCAGAAACATTCGAGTGGCCTAATATTTATGCACTTCATATTCATTCAATGCAATTTTCAAAAGTAGCATTTAAGAATTTCCCACATGACCATCATCTGTAACAGTTATCACCACAAATCACTACTTCTTTCGCCTTCCTGGCCTTTCCGTTTTACTGGAGCATTGCTTCCCTTCTGTGGCTGCTGCGATCTCTCTTCCTTTAGCTTTCTTTCTCCGCAGCAGTCTTCTTCTTTTTGCCTCCCACAATCTTCCTTGCCCTGTATCATTCGATAGCAAAATCACATTTAACATTATCAACAAATGAGCAGCTGCTGGTTAATAGCAGTAGCATTTATAGCTGACATGGCTAGAATTATGTTAGCAGATTCTGAGTAATGCTATAGAATCTTGAAAGTTTTACAAGAAGCAGATAATGCAGCAAAATCACAACAACGGGTAGACTCGTGCCATTGTACAGAGATGAACACATGCTTGCAAGCACACAATGTATAGGTGAATGTGTGTGTGATCAATAGGTATTCACAATACTTACGTTTCTTCCTCGAGCACATGCCTTATTGGCAGCCTGGAACACAAGCAATACGCATTGTAATGCTACCAGTTACGAGAAACACCCATATATACAAATATCACCAGGGGGCGGTTTCACGAAGCATGATTAACTTAATTATGATTAAATCACTAATTCATACTTAACCTTCTGTAATTATGATTAGTTAATCCTTACTCTAAAATCTGTTTCACGAAGCGATTTAAGTACATATTTAACTAATCACATAATTAGACCGACTTTAAACATGAATTACACTGTATTCAAAATGGCGGACAACGCCCAAAGTAGGGTGATACTCATTAGAGTGTTCCAACTTTAATGTCATTAATGGTCATGAATAAGATATATATATATATATATATATATATAATATATATATATATATACTATATATATATATATATATATATATATATATATTACATATTGGTCATGGGTCATATATTGGTTTTTGGTTTAATGTCATTTAGGTTAGGGTAGGTTAGGGTTAATGTTGAGGGGTATGATTATCAATCATTAATCATTAATGATATCAAAGTTGGGAACACTCCTAATAGTTTAGCCCAAAGTATCTGCCAAATTCGGTACACTGAAAAGGAATTAATTTGCAATTATAATGACTAAAATTAGCTACAGCTAATCTTAAATAATTTATAATTTCCTTGGGAAAAATTGAAGTAAAATTTCCAATTGTAAATCTGCAGCATACTTAATATACTAGTACTACCTCCTACTACTACGTAGTACTAGCACTAATCATGGATTAGTTGATATTTAATCATGCTCCTGAGTAGAATCAAATATTGTGATAAATTAATCATGATTAAAGTTAATTACGCTTCGTGAAACAGTCACTTCAATTTAAGTACGGGAAGTTAATCGTGATTAGTGATGTAGTGAAGCGATAATTAAGTGATTAGAATATAAACCGCGCGTTATAAAGAAGGTGATTAAGAAGTGATTAAGAATGTAAACCGTGCGTTATCTCAGGGACAGCAATGTAGAAAGCAAAAGCAAGAACCTACTTAAGATGTAGATTAGCAAAAGGCAAACTAGGCTTGTATGTAGGCTTAGCCTCATAAAAGGAATGATTACTCGGCAGTGCGGGTACGCGCAGGAACGTAGGCCCGAGAGAACGGTCGGTGACCGGTACGGTCGAAAAGGCGTGGCTAAACCTTCGCACGTCACATAGTGGGCTAATGAATGTAAACAAGAGAATAAATACAGAGGCTTTTGGACAGAAAGTTAGAAACACCCTGGGTCTCGATAAGCGAGTATAGTTGGTTAGCGCATCGTGCATTGCATGTTTTCTTGTATGTGTTCGTAGTTATGTCTTATCGTATTCGTGCGACAGTGAGTATGCGTCTTAAACTCCTTTTAAGACTAGTACTTGTATTGCGCATGTAAACTCCTTTTTATATATTGCATTACGTGTGTATAACTAATAACGTGTCTCTGTACTACTTTGTAAGAATTAAATAGAGCCATTTGTTTGTACGTTATACTTTTGTGTCTGTCTATTATGTTGTGCTTACCTCAGGGTACCTCATGGTACCCGTACCAAGTAGAACCTGGGTACACTATATATCGACACGAGCCTCACATGGGTACACATATGAGAGAAACTTCTTCATTACATTGATTTAATCATGATTAAGGACTTAATTACGCTTCGTGAAACCGGCCCCTGATACTGTGATATCTAATGTTCTGTAATACATATCCCTATAGACAACATCTATGTGAAATGCTTACCTTTGTTACATCCAACGCAGGCCTGCGGCTGTTCAGTTTGTTAAAAATTTCCATTTGTCTCTTTTTCTCGGTATCCATATTTCCTGTGACAGGATCAAACTGGAAAAGATTTCAAATGAACACTACTTTAGCATGTTGAGCACTCCTGTGACTCAAACATGTATTTCTCATTTTAGTTTCTAGTGCCCCTGTATACGCAGCTGATCAATTTTCATAGTAGCTCCAGTCTGCTTAATTTTTAAATAAAATTATCTTATAAAAAATAACCTTATATTAAATAATCCATATATAATTTCAAAGTTAACGTCTGGCAGAGAAAATCCTGATTTGACGTCACATGGTATTACCTTTCTACGATGTGAAACCTTGATATGTTTTGCCTCCTTGGGAATTTTTTCCGAGAATTTCCCTAGAGAGGGTGTGGAGAATTTAGCAGCCGTCAGGGCCCTGGCCACTTGCGGTTTTGTAGGTGCACTCGTTGGTGTCAGTCCAACTCCTGGGACTACAAGAAGAAAATACAATAAAACTCAAATGTTCTATAGTACATAGTCATAACACAGGCCCAATAAAAATGGAATCAAAATTACTGCATATTATTTATTTAGTAAAGTGAGTATAACCAACTGCTACATGCCACACAGTTTTCGTTAAATTATCTTGTTATTAGTTATTTGCTTATTTGTTGTTGTTGCTATTTGTTATTAGTTTTGTAATGCATTTTCTATACCCTTTGCCCACCAAGAATACTAGTATTGTAAAACGTGTGTAAAATAATGCACTATGAAATGAATGGAGTGGGGTTTATTAATTACCTTTAATTTTTTGAGCCCTAGCGATATTTTTTAATCGCTGCATCTCATTTTTTGCAACCCTTTCTTTTTTTGCTTCCACTCTTTTGCTAAACATGTCCTCATTTGGATCTATAAAAAATAGAATTAAACAATATCAAATTTCAGTTGCATACCTTCTTGTTTTATAAATCATTGCTATATATCAAAATCGAAACAGACACAAAATGATACAAAACAAAATACACTGGCATGCCTAAACCTACTCTGTATGCAAATTTCATCTGAGGCTCAATTGTGAAACAAGTACGATACGAAGAAAAATATATTGATTGCACATACAGATTGTTGACACATTAAAAACCCATGTAATAAAATTCAAAAAACTTTTAAAAACGTTCTCAGTTCAACACTATCACAGATTCCAGTTACACTATCATTGGCAAATATATTAGGGGTTAACCATTGCTTATAAGACTATACGTATCAAAGGCAAGTTAGAAACAGATAAGTAGACCTATACTATGGAGTCTCACCCGCATTGGCCGGGACTTCTATTAACCAGTCTTTCGTGTCGTCCTTTGCCCGATCATAACCCCATCTAGGTTTATATGACTGTCAAACAAACAAAATACAGACAAATTTAATGACTCAGAATTTTATGTCAATGACCACATTATCATAGAATTTTTAAACAAAATCATCAGATACAAGATAAAACACTGATAACGCTAACTTACCTTTGTTTGCTCATCCCATACCATTCTGCCCTTCTTTTTATTCTGTACCCCCTTGGCTCTTGCATATTCTTGCCACTTAGATGCTGGCTTTGGTTTCGGTATCTGGCAATATGAAACCATGCTATATATGTTAACAATTAATAAAAATGAAACCAACTCCATGGGCCAGTGTACAATAATCTAAATCATGATGGATCATTCATTGTGCTATAGGAGCACTACAATATTATAGCTTCATCTCTAACTAGTTCACAATTTATAACACGTAAATGTATTTATACCCGTTTTTCTCTTGGAATCACTGTAGTGGGTGGTGGCAGCTGGAGCAAAATAAAAGTTTGGGAATTAATATATATGAATCCTGATACCACTGACATTTTGGTACATGTATCTGAATGCAAATTGGAATATCATAAATAACTTCTACTGTGTTTATGCCTAGTGAAATGTCTACACTACACAAGTAATAAATTCGATATTGAAAGAAAGAGGTCACTAAGAAAAGAGGCAGGCATGCATTTCAGAAAAATATGAGTGATCGAAATACAAACCATAGCACTGAAGTGGCTTTGTTGTATTGTTGTTTATACATTTAGCATTCTGACTACCTGCAGCCTATTGTCAGCATCATAAGTCTTAAACTTCTAAAGTTAAGTGTAGTATAAAAGTAATAATATTTTAGACTTATGGCAGCCATAACTATTTATGTTACTGACAACTGAAGTCTGACCCTAATTACAACATGTTATCTATATAAATATATATCAGTAATCTCCTCACCAATCATCATCTATGGTTTACAGGCAAACTACCAGATTGAGCAGAAACATTCAAGTGGCCTAAAATTATGCACTTATTCATTCAATGCAATTTTCAAGAGTAGCATTTAAGAATTTCCCACATGACCATATCTGTAACAGTTATCACACAAAATAACTACTTCTTTCCCTTTCCCTTGCCTTTCCGTTTTACTGGAGCATTGCTTCCCTTCTTGGCTGGCGTTCGATCTCTCTTTCCTTTAGCTTTCTTTCCTGCAGCAGTCTTCTTCTTTTTGCCTCCCACAATCTTCCTTGCCCTGTATCATTCGATAGCAAAATCACATTTAACATTATCAACAAATGAAGCTGTGGTTAATAGCAGTAGCATTTATAGCTGACATGGCTAGAATTATGTTAGCAGATTCTGAGTAATGCTATAGAATCTTGAAAGTTTACAAGAAGCAGTAACGCAGCAAAAATCACAACACGGGTAGACTCGTGCCATTGTACAGAGATGAACACATGCTTGCAAGCACACAAAGTATAGGTGAATGTGTGTGACAAAATAGGTATTCACAATACTTACGTTTCTTCCTCGAGCACATGCTTATTGGCAGCCTGGAACACAAGCAAATACGCATTGTAAATGCTACCGGTTACGAGAAACACCCATATATACAAATACACCAGGGGCCGGTTTCACAAAGCATGATTAACTTTAATTATTATTAAATCACTAATCATACTTAATCTCCTGTAATTATGATTAGTTAATCATACTTAAAAATCAGTTTCACGAAGCGATTTAAGTACATATTTAACTAATCACATAATTAGCAGACTTAAACATGAATTACACTGTATTCAAAATGGCGGACAACGCCCAACGTAGGGTGATACTCCATTAGGAGTGTTCCCAACTAATTAATATGTCAAATTAAATGGTATAATAACAATATATATATTATACATATATATATTATATATATATATTATATATCATACTACTATTCACTATACTAGTATATTATATATATAATCAATATATATATATAGTATGGTCATTGGTCATGTCTCCATATTGGTTGTTTGGTTTTAATGTCGATTTAGGTATAGGGTTAGGGTTAAAGGGTTAATGTTAGGCGGTAGTGATTATCAATTCATTAATCATTAATGACTGCAAAGTGGAACAATCCTCCTAATGGTTACCCAAAAGTATCTGCAAATATCGGTTACATGAAAAGCGAATTAATTGTGCAATTATAATGCTTAAATTAGGTAGCAGGCTAATTTAAATAATTTAGATTTCCTTGGGGGAAAAATATGAAGTAAAATTTCGAATTGTAAAGAAATCTGCTTGCAGCAATACTTAATATACTATACTGACCATCCATACTACTATAGTACTAGCAACATAATCAATGAATTAAGTTTGATTTAATCATGGCCTCCTGATAGAATCAAATATTGTGAAAAATTATCATGAGTTAAACTTTAATTACGGATACGCTTCGTGAAACATCACTGACGAGGTCAAATTTAAGTACGGGGACAGTTAATCATGATTAGTGATCGTATGTGAACGCGATAATGTACAGTGATTGAGAATATAAACCGCCGTTAATAAAGAAGGTGATTAAGCAAAGTGATTTAAGAATGTAAAACGTGCGGAGCTCAGGACAGCAATGTAGAAAGCAAAAGCAAGAACTACTTAAGCTATGTAAGATTTTCAGCAAAAGGCAAACTAGGCTTGGTTATGTAGGCTTAGCCTGCATAAAGGATTGATTACTCGGCAGTGGCGGGTACCGCAGGAACGAGGCCCGACAGAGGAACGGTCGGTGACGGTACGAGGTCGAAAAGGCCGTGGCAAACTTCGCACGTCAACATAGTGGGCTAATGAAGTAAACAGAAGCAGAAATAAATACAGAGGCTTTTGGACTAGAAAGTAGAAAGACAT